GGGGTGGGTGGGTGGATGAGTGCCCCTTCTCTCCAGGCTCCCCTCCCCGAGCCAGTATCCATTCCCTCCTCCATGGCATACAATATGGCCAAGCAGTGGTTTCTCTGAAATGCAGTGGGTCTTGAGCTAGACGGAACACAGGAGAAGAGGAGGGCTGATTTCAGGGACACGGTTGAATGGCTGGGCAAACCAACTCACACACACACACACCCACACACACACACGCTGTGGAGGCCCTTTGGGACCTGGGTGGGAAGTGGCCTTCAGGACAGGTAGAGGAGTGGGGCTCCCCCCCCAGGCTTTTCTCTGCAAGAAGCTTGCAATAATCTGAGCATGTTTAAAATGTTTTCTATTGTCAGGCTGTCCTGGGTCACCATGGCATGAGAACCAGAAAAATGCAAATCCCTCTTCCCTGAAGGTTTTATTACTCCCTTTTGGAAAAGATTAGTTCAAACAGTTTTTTGTAGAAGGGCTGGGTATGGATTTGTTGTTTGTCGCTTCTGTGGTCCATACCGCCTCATAGGATGAATGGGGAAACTCCCTTCTAATACCACTTTATCATTCCAACCAGTCCTTTTCGGATATTCATCCTCTGTCTGCTCAGAGTCCTCTACCTGAAATAACTGTTTCTTCTGTCTTTGATCAGGGCCGTTTTGCTTTTAGGAAACATCCCAAAGACTGGGCTTCTGTTGATGATGGTTCATGTTCTGCTATCTCATCCTTATGGGAATATAAAATTAAGACAAAGATGTTGGTCACCTTAGAACTTTAATAGCAGCTGCAGATTTTCACACAATCAGCCAGACCCCAGAATAATTTCTGCATTTTTGAAATAACTAAAGCCTGAAAAGAAACTTATTTTAAGAGTGTTATCTGTGCTGAAAAAATACTGTCACAGACATGAGTAGTCTCTCCTGCAAACAAAAAAGTTAACTGCATAGCTGTCTCTTCAGAATGCAGTTGCAGGGGTGGAAAATGGTCAGTAAAATCAGTAAAAGTCAGTTTTTTCATCTTGGTCAGTAATTTGTCAGTTTTTTAAAACGTTGGTCAGTAAAGTCAGTATTTCTTTGATTTTTGTGAATGCAGTTTCTGTTTTTCTGTTTTCATTACTGCATTTTGGGGGAAACATGATGACTTCCCAGTGAGAAGACAGATTGTTTTCAGTTTAGTTATGAAGTACTTTAAGGACTTTGTTCCTAAGAGTAAAAGTGATTTGGTGAAATCTTCCACAAATTATAGAAACATAAGTAACCTCTTTAAAATGTGAGACAATGAAAGTAGAGGTGGTGGATATTGTTGGATTCAACATGACACAACTCATGCTAGAAGGAGCTGAGAAAGCAATGGAAGAAGAGGGCAAGGGGGAAAAATGCTCGTGGATGCAGTGCAGAAAACTCTTGGCTCAGTCGGCCCAGTCTGAGCCAACCAGCCACGGCTTGCAGTGCCCAGTTCAGGTCTTCCAGACTGGAGTCCGACTGGCCACCCAGCATCAGATAGAGCTGAGTGTCAGCCGCATACTGATGGCACCCTAGCCCATACCTCCGCGCGATCTGGGCAAGGGGGCGCATATAGATGTTAAACAACATTAAGGAAAGCACCACCCCCCTGAGGCACACCGCATTCAAGTG